TTTTCCAGGCCCTGGAACGCCTGCCATGAACGTCATGTTTTCCTATAATGAATACCAAATATGCAGCGCGTTCTCCGTAAAAATGAAAACGAAATTTGAACAAGACGTTTCCCAGGCATTCACTATTTGGCTAAATTGTGGGCGAACGAGGGATTTTTTGCGGTGTAATTTTTGAGGTAAATAGATCGACTTCACATTTAGTATAGCCATGGTGTGGACGCGTTTCGATCAGAACTTGGAAATTGAGGGAGGATGTAAAGCAAGGTCTGGTAGAAAGAGTAGAACTGGGTCAAAAGAGAGTTGGTGAGGGTGATTGCATTCGCATTCAATGGAGTCTTGCAAATTCGTGCTAAATTCTGAGATTCTCCTTTCGATTGATTGATACCACCTCCCAACCCTTTTTGTTTCACCGTGTCTTGTTACCGTTGAGATGTCTTTGGGATGACGTCAATTGCCTTTTTTTGGCAGTATAAGATTTCCCACATGCTCTAATCTAGTACCAACCGGTAGGCATTTTGCTTGTCAGCATATTTTTAAACATCTCGTTACTGAGCGGAACGAATGAGCATCTACCGATTCTTTTCATTACAAGACATTATTTATGTATCAAAAGTCTCAACTTGTTCAGCAGGACTCGACAAGAAATTAAATAAAGACTAAACCGTAAGTACAGTGTTACTGTTCTTTCAAAAATCTCTTGATCGTTAAACGATTTGAAACCGGCATGCTGTGACCAGTCTCGTTATAAAGTACCTTTTCATATCTCAAGCTTTGTGACCATGCAAATTGCTTTACTTGAATAGAGTTTGCCATTTCGGACACAATATCTCGAAAACCTTGCCTGACCAAGTCGAGTGGACTGGAGACGTGCTCCTGAACCATGTGCTCCGTTGGAATGTTAACGAAGACTATGATTATTGCAGTTGTGGTAAGTTCACATTCTGTTTATTTCAGGCGGGCAAAATTCAAGCGATGGATTAAATGTATATTGTTTAATTCAGATAGTTTGTTTTACAATCAGCAGAGAACGTCGGAAATCATTATTTCTTGATATTGCTACCTATGACATGTGAAGTAAATTCATGACATACACCGGTAGTATTGAGCATATGACATCAACTTCTCTTTCCCCCTATTTTTCCCTTTAAGATGCTAACTGTATACAAGCTGATTACTATAGGGTAAGGAAAAAACGCTTATCTGGCGGTAACAGAGGGGGAAGATACTGTCCCAATAACAAAATGAAGGTTCCTTCTTTTTCAGCTCCAAGCACAAGGAAGAGATTGCTTGGGTTGCAAAGGTGATGAGATCACCTGGCGTAGCGATAAGCCAGGAAAGAAAAACACGTGTATAACGTGTATCGACTGCCCGGACGGAACTGAACCGTCGATTCCTTGCGGAGGGACCGCCAAATATGGAACACACTTACATTGCGAGGCATGCAGGCAAGGAACCTATTCGGACAATTATGGAAAAGGACCCTGTAAGCCATGCTCTCTATGCTCTGTCGGACGTACAGTGACAAGGAATTGTTCTGCGACGAAGAACACTCAATGTGGCTCTTGTAAGTACGGCTATTACCAGAAAGTTGTCACCATTAACCTGCTTTCCGATTGCCTCCCGTGTTCTGTCTGCTGTGGGGACAGTAAAGATAAGTTAGAAAAGCAGTGCACAGATCAAGGGCTTCCAAGTCAACAACATTGCAAACTCAGAGCCGCGCCTAGCTGTCAACTGTTGCGGACGACTTCGAAGATCACATCGAGCACGTCATTTTTAGGAGCAAATCATACGGCGAAGAAAGGAACAATCCGAAAGGGAAAATCAGAGGAAGCTACTTCAGCTGCTTCATCAAGAACACTGGAGCCGTCCGCAAGAACCACTGTCATAACCACAAACGCGACATTTTCCTCTAATGAAACGTTACCTACCTCTCAGCATGGAACTAGTTCAGCTTCAGAAGGATTTCACGGCAGTAAATCAAAGGGACTTTTTTCGAGAGAAGCGTCGACAATAATAATGGCACTGTTATTGTCGTTTCTCCTATGTGTGGGATTTCCATTATTTTCATTGCAATAATTGTAATTGTTCTTAAGCGAAACAAACTTGCACGCTTCTTTGTAAGGACGAGGTGTGGTCCTATCCTGAAGTGTACAGACGCTGAACTCGGCAAACTAACAGAGAGTACTCCGTTGGATGTTGTGCCATTAGAGATAGGAGATAGGTGCATTTGCACTATTTTGAACACAGTCGAATGACAGCAAATTACTCAGTCGTTGAGACACTTTCTTAAAGGACCAACCAATCAGGACAAAAACACAGGAGAAGACGGCGATTAAAAAAATTATTTCTATTTTTAACTAGAGTTTCGCGAATGGCTACATGCGTTAACTATCTCTTTCGGCGCTACGCCTCAACTTAAGTATAACGTATGTGAACAGTGCTGAGTTCCAAATGGAAATTTAAATAATTTTTTGTCAAGGCTCACGTTCTCAGCTTTGACTCGTCCTTGGTGCAGTCGCTGTCGTAGTTTGCTTAAAGTCGCAGATCCCAAGGGAGACCCTTAATATCAATCTATAGGAACAGCTGTTTCATGTTTAAGACACAGATAATGACAAAGATTTCTAAAAGCGAGGAGTGGTGAACATGTACCTTATGTAAGACTTGACAAAACAGGTTTCATTTCGTTTATTTATGAAATGCTAACAGCGTAATATTTTCGTGATAGGTTTGGTTCTCAAAATTAATTATTGAAAGAAAAAGTTGCTTCAAATAAGTAAATAAACAAGTTCGAATAAACACAAAGGGAACAAAATAGAGGACAGTACAAAGTAGGATTAGAACTCAGATACTCAGACCGTGACGTTTCTCCGTGACCAGTTTCTCCTCCGTTTACCAGCTTAATGTTTTCAACGTAGCGTTCTTTTCCAGTCTAACAACATAAATATCAGTAATTTTCCTTTTCTTTTTGTAGTTCTGGTTTCCTTAAAAGATTTGAAGTCCCTTTCACTGAATATACTGAGGAACGATGTCGTTGAACTTTTGAAAGAATACATTCATAAATAAGTGAAATTTTTAGACACATAAGGTTCGTATTGAAGAAAGGCGGAATTTGTAATATGAGCGAGATCAATTAGGAACGGGTCACGACCACATACATTTCTCACTTTTACAATTCTAAGGCGGCTAAAGCTCATGACACGAAACTAGATTGAGCGTCACTGTTACCGTTGCGAGATGAGTTGTGTTGCATGTAGCTTTGTAGGTTTTCCATCGGGACAGATTACACAGGAACGGTTCTTTGTTGATGTAATGTTTTGCAATGTTTTGTAAATAAAACTGACTTCCTTTTTCGCCCTATTAATATGTCTGTTGTCTTTGCTACGTCTAAGGCCTTTTTGAAGCAATGGCACGTGCGAGTAAAAGCAACGTATGGGCTTGTTGTTTGTGTCTGCTGACTCATATGTGTGACACTCGATTTATATCAGAGTTCGAGCGGATATCGCTATCTAGTGGCTATGCAGCGGATAAATGTCAGCAACACGTACTGCGCTACTCACAGGATGGACAATTATTCATAGCGTTACCTACCTATGGCGATAGGTTATTAAAATGTCAGATGGTATAACGTGTTGGGGTTAATTAGTAGCTTTTTGTAAACTGTAAAACTAACCACATCTACGTCATTTCCATACTTCACATTGCTTCTTGAGGCTTTGCACGAAAGACATATGGTCAACAACCGGTTCAATCAACGTACCTAAATATATCATCTTGAGTGTTTGGGTCACATAGCTGTTGAGAGGCCCTGCGCCTGAGAAACGACCGATGATTTCTGGCTAAAAATTAAAATCGGCCGATTTTTATCTTC